AATTCGTATTCAGCAACTAAGAATATATATAGTATTTCACATTTATCAAAAAATATTTCTGAAAATTTTCAAATTCATTTAATTAATAAATAATAAAAAAAAGAGTATATCGTCACCTGAAATGCAAAATAACGTATCATCAAAAAATTCGAAATTGAGTGTCTTACTGATTCCGCTTCATTACTTCAAATTGCATACATAATATTACATTTGTTCAACATTTTCAAGTTCTGCGCTCAAATATAAACCAGTTTTAACCAATATTAAATTTTTTTTCACTCACTTTCCATTTTATTTCGTGTTTCATTCATGCCACTGTAAATTTCCGAAAATGTTCTTACGTTATTTTGCATTTCAGGTGACGATATGAAGTTTTCCAATACATTTTGCACTTGACTGATAATATTATTAATAATGTCAAGTTCTGCAAAAGCCATGCAATAACACCCTTAACAAATCAAAAAATTTCCATACAAGGACCTGAGATTGTATGGCAGCTATAGTATGGTGCGATCTGAGCAATTTGTGCCAGGCTTGTAACGTTACCTTGGACAGCACTCTATACTGAATTTCGTGAAGGTACCAAGTCCACTAAATAAGTTTTCCTTATTAAAATTTGAGCTTGATAGATCACTTTGTCTGGCAGGTACGTAAATGCTGTTCCAATAACTGAGCAGCTTCTGAGGAACTAGTTACGGACAGACAGACGGACAAGGCCACATCGACTCAGTTCTTCACGCTGAATATTCCACTGTCTTCTTTATACGATCTTCGACATTAGATTCTTTATAGTTTGGTTCGTTCGGGTCATTTATTCACTCTACAATTCGAACAAAAATTTGAAATAACAGGACACTATTGAATACACTACGTATGAATTATCTGAAACCTGGTTTACTTAATTGAAGACCAGAAAATTTCAATAATAGAATTGTACTTTCTACTTAGCCACAAGCAAATCATCAGAAATGTCAATCGTTTTCAGTAGAATTTTTCCTCATAACTTAATTGATAGTCTTAATGAAATCATATATTAGTACGAAATATATTTTTAGAGGAAAATTTCCATATTTATGGCTAAATTTATGTCTTTATATTATACATAGACACAGTCATCGACTAAAGCTCGCTCTGTGTAGACGTGTTTCGGCTTATCTTTTGCATATTTCGCTCAGTACACATCCGTCTTACGTGCACGTGTTTACTTAGAAAATCTCTGTTTTATAATTCGTTTTTCCTACAAGTGTTTTCTAAACAAGTGAATCGAGTGTGTAGAAATAATAATCATGGCCCCCGGGCCACCCAACCTCGGGAATAACAGGTTTGCTTTGCTTGCCTCGGAATCCCATCCAAAAAGAAAGAAACCCTCATACACGCCCCTTAATTTTCCCGACTTGCCTCAGTCTAGGAAAGAAAACCCTAAATTTATTATTGTTAGTGCTTCCGATTCAACGAAACCTATCATTTATAAATGTGAAAAAAAATAATACAATTATTTTATTTACACGAAAAAAAGAGGCACTGGCTGCGAGGACCTTCGGCCTATCGGTATTAATGAACGAAAGTTGTTTTAAAGTTAGAGTTGCTTAAAAAACAAGGCGCTCTCTCTATCTAAATATCTCAAAGCTAACTTCAAAGCTCATAACTGCAAGCATATTGGCAGCGAGTGCAAAATCTATAGCTGGCCAATGAAATTGCAGCATTGCTCTTTCCACATTCATGCGCTTAATATCGATCTTTTGAGATTTATTTAATAGTTATACTAAAAAACCTTCGTTCCACTTGTTTATTATATAAAAAAAAGTTGGTTATTTTGTATGTGGAGCTTTAAATAAAGTTAATTCGCTCGGATTTAATCAGATTGCGTTTATACAAAAGGTGTTTGTGTGTAAATTTCAATTCCGAAAAATATTTTAGACAGTTAGCTCAGGATACTAGCTTTATAGCCTTAAACAAGGCGTTTGAACTCACTTACACGCTTTTAAGCGCAACTTTCCAAATTAACGAACAATAAAAAATGC